TAAAAGAGCCTCTTTTCTCAATAGTAGGGAATATCAGGAGGGAATTTTCTTGTAGTAGCAAAGAGCCTCTTTTCTGCAATATGCCAGTAAAAGGGAATATCAGGAGGGAATTTTAGAGCCCAAGGTAAACTCACGCAATATCTACCATCTCCGGTTCTGCGAAGGCCCCTAAGAAACTGCTCTTTCGCTGCTTGATCTTCTGCGAGCCTGGAAATGCCTTGCGCATCATCTGCAATGCCGATAATTTCTAACTTCCACATAAAGGAAGGTTCCATGTCTTGAATAAGAAGATTAGCTACTAACATAGATGGGGTACCTTTAACTACATTAGCTACTAACATAGATGGGGTACCTAACTTTGGATAATCGTTCTTTTCGATTCCCCGCACAGCGTCCATCCCAGTTTAGTATTTATGGCTGTCAAACCACCCTCAAGCTGAATTACTTCATCAGTAAGTATTTGCCCATAAATATCACTCCCTACGAGGATTTCTATTTCCGGGTGACCCTCACCGACATCTGAAATCCAAATTCTGTGTCTTTTTAATTCCTTCAATAACGGTCCTTTAGGTATGCGTGGTATCGCCTCCACAAATGGTATTTTGATCCAGAAAACTAAATTGGTACACTTTGTTTTTCCCAACCGGGCTTAGACTTATAGAATATTTCTTGTGAATTTTTGACTCAGTCCTTGTTCCCCCAAATAACGCATGAGTTAAATTCTCAGAGGAAGTGCTTTTCAGATTTAAAGCTTCAACTGTGGATTGTAAAACGTAAGATCGTTGGGATCCACAATCCAAGAGGCACCTGACCACCTTCTTTACATTGCCTACAACTATTTCAACCATTAAAGTCATAAGTGACTTAATTCATACATAAGGGAGAGAGACATTGTACTTTGTACCATTACTGACTCGTTTTCGTTTTTCCTTATTGTCAGCATTGTTTTCTCTGATACCTCCGGGCATAAAATTATAGGGTTGAGATCGCCTACACAAATAGCATTGAATAAACTGTGGACACTTCTTCGCAAAAATGCCCTGGTTTAAGACAGCGGAGGCAGCATTTTAATTCTCTTAATTTGTCTAATCTTTCCTTTAAGCTCATCGATCGAGCTGTAAAACATTCTTTGCTTTCGTGAGATTTTCCGCAAAAAACACAAACACATTTTTGTTCTTTGACAGCGACTAGGCTTGCTGCGCTAGCGATTGGTTTTTTGGTCTTAACTTTTACATCTTTAGAATGTTCATTGCGCGAAGTAGAAGAAATTTCAAATCCAGACCTGGCTAGTTTAACTCTCTGCTCTCCTTCGACCTCTTTACGCAAAAATTCCAGGAGATTTGTGAGACGTGATCCTTCTTTACTGAACAAAACGCTTCTCTGCCATACTCGAAGCATCTCAGCAGACAGACAAGACTCGACCATAGGATATAACCAGGAAACATTAGTATCCAGGGCTAAGCCTAAAGACTCTAGAGATCTGAGATGGGATTCGATTTTGTCAAACAGTGACACTAGCGGCAACCGATCCTTCCCTTGTGAGCGTACATTTTGGATAATTAATTTTAACAATTCCCTCACATATATCTCAGTTAAAATTTCCTTGTTTCCAAAACGCTCCTCAAACGCAGAAATGGCCTTCGGGTAATTTTCAGCCGTTAAACAATAACTATCTATCAACTCACAAGCTCGAATTCCGGGTAACATTGATTGAGCTAAATAATGGAATTTGTCAACGTCATTAAGCTCTTTATCCTCATGGATCTTTTTAAATTGACCCCAGAATGTAAGGTAACTTAATAATTGTCCATCGTTTTTTTAATATGAATTTTCGGCAACTTGTACCGTTTTTCATTAGAAGCACTTATGCTACTATCCGTGTTAGAACTCGTATTGACACTACGGTTAACCGCATTATCTATATTCTCTTTCACCCGACGATTAAGCGTGATAAACTCATCTGAATATTCTTCGCAGCCTATGACCTCTGTTTCCAGATCATCTTCAGCGGCTTTTCCCTTAATCATTGAATCTAGTATTTCTGAATCGCAAGATCTCAACTCAGCAATTATCATCTGCAACTTCAAAATTTTGTCTTTCAATACATCTCTATCCGCTTGAACATCTTTACAAAGTTCGGTTTTTAGAATCTTAGCCGTCCTAGTAAAGGCACTGCGTGCCGTTGCACGCTTTTTCTTCAACATATCAACATCCATTTTATCTTTAAATGCAGACCCACTTAAAACTCAAAATCTGTAATGTTATCATCAATCCGACAAATCCTCAAAAACGTCTTTACTCAGCAATTCCAAAAATATAACTCAATATAATAAAAATGAATAACAATATGTCATAACATTCATAATACAGCAAAACAAAATTATTTTGAATATCACAGCAGAAGATTTAACGCATAACCTTTTCTACGTTTACACTGCAGACGATTTAACGCATAGCATTTCGATTGAAAATTGAAACTAATTCGAATACAAATACGAAATTCAACATTGCAGACGATAAAACGCATTACGTTTCCAAATAACACTTAAATTAATATTTACTTCTACAATAATAATATAGCAAACACAATACTTTCTCAACTATATTAATATAATAATCGCCAACACATTCGAATCAGGATCGCAATCCTGGCTGGCTCGCCATTTTGTTATGTCGTGGAGCAAAAACAATTTTACTTTACACCTGAACTGCCACTGGCTCCGACATAGCAATGTGAATACTCTACATCTAAAATTTTAAAACACCATTCCAGAATTTTAAATGTTTATTTAATAGAATTCTATTCATATATTTGCAAGTTATACACTATAAAAACAATAACAAAAATTTAAACTTATCTGCACCAGCGTGAATAAGCCTGGCATAATATTCTGAACTCGACGCAACTTTAGGAGGAAAAATACCGCAAAATCAAATACAAGGTTTCATCCCTTCCAACGCAGCTATTTTTCTAAAATATATTTTACTAATATCCGCAGCGGGACAGCGGATTCCATTTCATTCACCCAAAACTCAAAATGTTATAACGCAACAGTATCGCAAAAGACGCAAAAAACCTCGACTCAAAATCAAAATTAAAATCTATAGAATATCATCCGCTGTTGCCATTCCAGCACTGCCAAGTTTTTCTTCCTGCAGCTGTTGCCAAACTTATCCTCGCTGTATGTGAGAGGTACAACAGCCGTTATAGTAAAACATCAAGAAGAGTTTCTCCCCGCGCTATTGAGGGTTATTACCTATTGTCGTCGGGGTTGGAGCGATGCCTGTCCCCTTAGGCATATGGGAAGTAAGACAAAAATGCGGGCTCGCCATTCTTGACGTATTTTTTAAGTCTAACAAAAACACGGGACAGTCCGGTTTCGAGGTTATATTTAAATGACAATATTCCGGGACAAACCGCTAAGAAGCCTGCGTAAAAGTACGAGATATTCCGGGTCAAACTCTTAAAGGGTTAATTGAAGCCTACTGCAGTCTTTCAAACATTTCTTCCCAAAGCGCAGCTCCTATGCGCCGGATAGAGCTTCAAAGTCTAATCTCTGGTTTTCGGAAAGAGTCAGCAGGATATCTGCTGCGTCTGCTCTCAGAGAAGTGGCGTAATGACAGACCTTAGCTTGGGATTCCCGTCCATTCGCTTCAGCCGCTACTGAAAACTGCGTCTTATAAACTTGCCAAGATGTCTTCCCAGCATGCGTAGATAGCTTCAGTGAGGGACGAGCAAGCTTGGGTAAGAATTTAAAACCATCGAAATTGCTCCCTGCCGTCGCTACGAATATCTTTAAAGTATCAACTTCCTTGCCAAGTGCAGAAACCCTGTCATCAATTTGTTGTTCCACGGCAGAAACTCTCTCTTCTATTTGTTCCTTGACAAAAGAAGCTTTCTCTTCAATTTGCCCACCTTTATTTTCAACCACGTCTGTTCTGCCTTCCATAGATTCAAATTTGTTTTCTATTATACAGATAATCTTTCCTTTAACAGCTTTCATCTCGTCTTTAAGTGATATTTGACTAGGTCTCATCTTTGCTTTAACAGGTTCCTGTTCCGCTTTCATCTGTGCTTGGCTCGCTTTTCTTTCTCCTTAGTTAACGACCCTCTTCCTTCTTTTCTTGGAATGCATCAAATGCAGTCATCAGTTGCCTGAATTTCTTTTCCATCGCTCTTGTAACTGGCATTCAAAACTTCACTCCTGACACCGAAAAGTGTTGCGATCGTACGAGTTTCTAATGGATTGAATGCACATGTCGATAAAATGTTAGAAAAATTTAATTCTTATCGCGAGAAATGAAACAAAATGCCAAAATTTTCTCAGAGTATACATACAATCTCGCAATATCTCAGAGTAGTTACATTTAAACTCAAGTTTTCTGGTAAAGCAAAAGACTACATTTACGAGATACATGTTTATTAAATCCGCGTGCTCCTGTATTTTTACTCTCTCATCTGGCGTAGCTTTCTCTTCAAATATGTCTCGTGCTGCATTGCATGAGGATATAAAACAATTTTAATCATAATTTTAGTAAAAATAGCAAATTAAATACAAGAACTGTAACAATACTAATTTTCAACGAAATATCTTAAATTTTAAGTTAAGGTAGATTAATAGTATTTATTTATTAAATGTTCTTCAGCTTCAGATTATCATATGTACACGCATACATAAAGTACACAAAGAGTCTCATATAAAAGTGTTCCTCTTAAAAAAGGTCAAAATAACGCTGAGAGTTATGGAAATAATTAGCTAAGCAGGAAAACTTTAAGTTTAGCAAGTAAACCAAATAATCCATTCTACTGTATTGTTTTAATTATAAAAAAATCACAATGAGAGGTATCTACCTGAAAGAAAGTATGTTTTTTTTTTGAAGGAACTTCGGACAAACGCTGCCGTATCTACCTTACACGCGCTCGCCAAGAAAATTATCAAATTTTGAGTTAGTTGAGAAAATTTTTTGAGTTCATAGTTTAGGATAGTGTAAACAATTACTGAAAGTCAAATGCGAGAGAAATTTTAACCTTTTATTAAAGACAAATGTTACTTAAGAATTTGATACAAGTTTCAAAATTTTACTACAGCAACATATAAGCCACACCTTTGGTAACAATAAGGTAAATATCAAAATATAAACCATAATAACGCAGTAATAAAAATTCTTCTTAAATTCTGGATTTGCTCAACCGACTTCCTTACCAAACTGGACACTTTTTACTTGGATTCATTGGTGAATCTGATGGGCAGTTGAATGTTGTGGCAAATTCTACTAAGTTAGACACTGCTCCTATCACTCTGAAATAGAACAGGTATTTTAAATGAATAAATGCAGAACACAATTTCAATCATAATGTTGTTTACCAAAAAATCTTTTTCCTTTCAGAGCCATACATTAAATACTCTAAATAATAAATTATATTTGAAACATGTTGTATAAAGAAAGAATGACATATTTTGAAGACTAAACTTTTAATATATCCACAGGTTGTGCTATAAGGTTGGGAATATTAAAAAATTTCCCTAAATTCAACCAACTAGCAAATCAGAGATAGATAAATAGCATGTAGAAAAGTTGCAATGCTCCAAAAGTGACTTATTTTTTATGGACAGTTCTTTCATACTTCCACATGATACCGCGTGTACCGTTACAATTCATAGAACACAATTTAATATTAGAGAATATAATATATTAAAAATGAAGTAAATTAGGTCCTCCAAGATGTTAGAATTTGCATCTGGAAGTGCTACATTTCAGTTCCCTAAGAATTGGAGGAATCTTATTAATTTTAATGATTTTGCTTAATCGTTAATTAAATTAATTACTTTTTACTAAATCGTTAATTAAAGTTTTTTAACTTTCGGGAGGTTTATCCTATCAATAAAATTCCGAGTTTCATACTTAAAGACCCCATTTCGGATTTGAAATCCTGGGGTATTTACAGGATTCCTTGGCCAGTGTGGATTTAATTTACATCAATCAAACTAAGAGAGAGCCTTAAAATTTTGCGTTAAGGAACATGTTAAGAAAAAGGAAACACAGAAGTCCTCTGTTGCCCAGCATTGTTGGTCCGAAAATCATACTTTCCATTTTTCTGCAGCCAAAATTATTCAAAAATCATCTTCCATTGGTGAATTAGATTTTCTAGAGGCTTTTCACATACAAAAAAATCTTTCTGTTCTAGTTAACGACCCTAATTCCAATCCATCTTTACTTTCAGTCTTTGAGGAAATTATGTTATAGTTTTCTTGTTTCATCAATAGATGGCACCAGTAGCTTAACTCAGGTCTAGCCATTCTTATCTTACTTAGCTTATCACTATATTTTATCTCTTCATTTGCACTTTGGCAGCTGAGGCTGCTGGCTCGGTAACGCTCTCGAAGCTAATTCTGTGAAAATTTGCAAATATAACGCTGATTTTTTGTTTTTGATTAATATCTATCTATCAGTCAATATTCCGTTTCAAGTAAATATATTAATAAAAATGTTACAAGTTTCACTTACCTATACATTGGTGGGCTATGAGATCCGACTAGTGGGCTATCAGATTTGCCACATAGAACCTGAAAGATTTTAACATAATTAACATTATTAAAAGTCCTTATCTTTCTTCTTATGCAAATAGTGACGCAATGAAAATATTTTTACGGATTTTGCATATATGTAAAAAAAAATTAGTGAAAATATATGTGAATTATAGTACCTCTTGTATAATATAACACGAAAGGTCTAAAAAATATGAAGTTTTACCGGAAAAATAAGGTTCATTTCAGATTGAAGTACACTCATGTCCATAAATTAAGGATAATTCGGAGTCACGCGGAAATCGAACTCTAAAATAAGTATATCACCTGTAAAATCACTACACACATCTTCAAGAATCATATGCAAATTTCGGGAAGTAACCAAATGGCACCAATGGTACGTCACAATGACGAGAGTGTAAGAGAGTGATATATAAGGAATACAGGCAAAGAAGTAAAATTGTTCGCAGGCGCTTTATAAGCATTTCAGTGCAATAACCGAATAGTTATGACACAAAGGACGCATTTGGATGATTTTTTATGTGGTAGAATTATCGGCCGTCTGGAATGTGGGCGTACCCAACTGGAAGTATCAGACGAACTTGGAATTGCCCAGAGTGTCATCTCCAGGCTTTAGCAACGATTCTAAGATGATGGTAATGTGAGTAGACGTTACAGCACAGGTCGCTCCAGAGTTACAACGCCGAATGAGGACCGGTATTTGGCAGTTACTGCCAAAAGAAACAGGCGGAGCACAGCCTCAGACCTGTCTCGTCAGCTCTCTTCAGCCACTGTTACGACAATTTCAAAGCAGACCGTGTACAGACGCTTAGGGCAGATTGGTCTATATACTCGTAGACCTGTCAGATGCGTTCTATTTACCGCAAATCACTGTAGCCTGCGGTTAGCCTTAGAGAGCATGCATTGTGAAAACCGCAGCAGTGGGCTTGTGTGATGTTTTCCGACGAGTCCAGGTTTAGTTTGCAGTCTGATTCTCACCGGACTTTCATATGGAGAGCTCCTGGTACCCGATACCGACAAGAAAACATCATTGAACGACACCGTTACGGTGGTTCAGGAGTGCTCGTTTGGGGTGGAATTATTCTGGGTTCCAGAACTGACCTGCATGTTCGAATTGTAACCATGACAAGCCAAATCTATCGGAACGTCAGTCTGGAACAGCATGTACGTTTGTTTCGGGGCGCTATGAGCGCACAATTTGTGTTTATGGATGACAACGCCCGTCCTCACCGTGCAAACATCGTAAGCGAACATGCCTTCAATCGGAGGATATCACCCGTATGGACTGGCCAACATTCTCACCGGACTTGAATCCAGTAGAGCACGTGTGGGAAATGCTTGGCCGACGAGTTGTAGCCCGTCAACTTCCTCCTACATGTCTACCGGAACTTCGGAGAGCATTGCTTTTTGAGTGGTGTAATATCCCCCAAGATCAGATCGATAATTTGATAATCAGCATGCCTAGGCGTTGTACGGACTGTATTGCATTGTCTGGGAGACATACAATATATTAACAATTATACCAACCATGTAATATTGGTTTTTTGTAAATAAGTGCTTTTTGTAATTTGATCCAGGGAGAAAAAATCGCTAATTTTTTAATAATATCAAACATATAGCATCTTTTTTTGCTCTTTACCTTTTGTTTGATAAACAAGCTTTACAAATAAGTCAAATTTGTTTTGCTTCTAACTCTTCCTTTGCCTGATTTTGCATTATCCTTAATTTATGGACATGAGTGTAAATGGCTGTATCGCCAAATTAGTGAAATAGCGCCAAGCTGGTGGAGGTTTTGGCAACTAATTTTTATAGATAAATTTAACAAGAAATTTCCAAACACTCGCCGAACTTGGAGACATTTTGGTCGGATCCTTGCTTAACTGTAACAAGTTCTTCCCCGTGTAAATGTAACTGTAACTACATGTGCCTTTCAGAAGTTTCGAGAAATTTAAGGTATTGGAATTTTCTCGGCATCAGATGAAAGCTTTATAAGACACGAAACAGCATCAGTTCTCAGCTTATTTTACAGTTGAGTTAAGCTCAGAATGTTGAGAGTACTGAGAGAACACAGTGCGAGTTTACTCATTTGAAGCATTTTATATTGTGTTGCGTTTATCAATCTCAGTAATTTGAAGTGGTAATTACTGATTGTACTCTGTCATACTGATCATATCAGTAGTTATTGTACGAGTACTTTTGTAGAATGTTGCAGAACCATAAAGTGTTTCTTTTGAAAAACTTAATTATGTTAGATTTTGGCAAATTGTACTTTATAAATTGAAAGTACGCACATCTGCTGTAGAAGCAAGCAATAGAATATGAGCTCATTTGTTGAGAAGAAACTAAGGAGGAATTTTTTCTAATCTTGAAATCTCAGTTTTTCCTCAAAAAAGGCTGTATGAATACACTCACAAAATAAACATAATAGGAAAAGAATTAAATGCGAAAATATTTTCAAAGGGTTTAAATATGGAGTTTTTCTTCGTCAGTAGCGAAATTTCTGACGAAATTCACGGCCAAAGACGAACCTTCAGATGAAGTTTTAAAAGGCTGTAAAATCTTCACACAGAGCGTTGCATTCCCATATATAATTATATTTGTGTATTTTCAACTTTCTATTTACAGTAGGCTCCACAGCCGCTGAGTGGATAAGCCCGCTGAACCTGTGCTCGAACGCACGAAAACAAGCTGGCTGCATGGTTGCTTTTATACGAATATATACGAATACGAACCAGTTTCTCTTAGAAAGTCCATCACGAATACAGATAGCTCTCCCCGTGGGCTTTTCTTTCTTTAATTAACATAACCTGATCTCTAATTTACACTGTGGTTCACTAGAGGCTGGACACTGATAGTTTGACTTGGGTTCGAATTCCCGCAAATGCGTTGAGTGCAAAAGCCTTTCTCGGTCTTCTCGCAGCGGATGCGAGACATTTCTTAAAATACCCCACATGAGCGTATCGCTCTCCTTAGGCAGATAGTACTTAACATTATCTGCCATAATCAAGCAAAACAAACCAAACTATTCACGATAATATAGCAGTCAATTGTTAAACATTATGTATTTCTAACTGAGAAAACTATTTGTTGCTATTTTATGTGTTGCTTTATTTCCAATAATTTCAAAGTTGAAAACTTTTCTTTAAGTTTTCAGTAAAGTCGAGTTTGGAGAATTTAAGTGAACCTTAAACGGATATAAAGAGAAAACAGTACAATTAATTCTATATATTTAAAGAAAAGAGTTAAAGTTAACTGCTAAATTCCTGTAGATGGAACAAAAATTAAACAAGAAAAAAATGTGGAGCCATCCCAAAGGCAATTTTTTTTCTTCATGATTTTCTGCGCTTTAAGAATTTTTCCTTTGTAACAGCAAAAATCGTCAAAAATATTCTAGCAAAGTTTCATCTCTAGATGCATAACAGTCTGGCCTTTGAAGTTAATTTAATTAAGATCTCTACGCTTTAATCTTCTTACATTTTATACATGTATACAGGGTTTGTCCCAAAAAGTCCCGGAACGATGTTTTTAAATTATTTTTTCAATATCAGTTTAGAAATTTTCAAAGTATAATCCCTCTGCTTCGATGTACCGTTGTCAAAGCTTCACCCAATAATTGAAGGCGCCTTGGAAGTCGTCAACAGGAATTTCTTTCAGGAGTCGTCACGGCTGCTTTTACTGCCACCAGCGTCCCATGCCGACTTTTTTTCAGGGTTCTTTTGATATTTGGGAACAAAACGAAGTCCGCTGGTGACAGATTGTGGCTCTACGGCGGCTGAGGCAACGTTACCACACCCATTTTGGACAGCAACTCGGAGATAATGAGCGCGGTGTGAGTTGACGCATTGTCACGCAGCAAGATCCACTTGTTGCAAATTTTATTTCGGACGCGTCGAACCCTGTTGCGCAACCGTTTGAGCAACTCGTCGGTTCGTGATGTCGACGAGCATTTTAAGCGGTCTTCGTCGTTGATGGACTCTCGACCTTCAAGGTGCCACATGAAAATTTGGCTTATTTTCATCGGTCCGTCACCGTAGGCTTTCCAAAGCATTTCGAATGTCTCCGCCCTCTTTTTATCCAGTTTGACACAAAATTTGTTGCGAACTGAGCGAATAGGGGGCAATAGTGAGCTCTTGAATTTAAAACTGTTTTATTTACTTTGTTTTTAGAATGTAGCTAGATGTGTAAGATGTGTCTTGTCAAGTGAATTGTCTCTCGTTACAATGTGTTATTAAAGGATTAAAAGCTGAGTAATTTTCAGTTACTCTCTTTAGAAGCTCAGAAGATCAAGAACTAGGTAAAAGCTATTATTTATATCCGATTTGTTTTATGGCGTCGAACTAACGAGAGTTGTAGTAATCGAAAATGGCACAGCCTAGTGAAATAGAGACGTCAAAGAGTAAAAGAAAAACTATTCGGACTTTTAACTAAAATTGTGAATAAAATAATGACACATTAAAAGGGGACAATATGCATTACGACGATTTGGTTGATTTAAAATAGCAGTTAGAAGAAAAAACTAATCAGATCTATCAGATAGATTCTAAAAGCATAAGGCATTTAGAAATGCTTAAAGCTGATGTTCTAGCAAGCCAGGAATATCGCGAAAAAATTACGAGTTCCAAAATCGAAACTAGAAAGATACCTTAAGCGTAAACGTGAAAGCGAAAGTAAAACTGATGCACACAATGAATCGTCTAGAATTTCTGAAGAAGGAGTAATGATTAATTATCCTAATGTCAACATGCCGAAACTAAAAATAGGATCGTTTGACGACAAATACTGTCAGGGATTTTGGGGACAATTTGAAGGTTGAGAATAAACAGTTGTCAAAAATTTATAAATTTAACTATTTAAAATCGTTCTTAAAGAATTCAGCATTAAAATGTATACAAGGATTGACATTAATGCAAAATAATTACGATTTAGCTGTTGAACTATTAAGAGAACGATTTGGTAAAAACGAAATTATTGTATGTTCACATGTAAGCAAACTTTCAGGCTTAATTCCTGTGAAATCA